CGTAGACATTGGACAGCCGTTGATATCGGTTCGCGCGAAGGAACAGCACAAAGACAATGTCATCGAAGCCCTCCGGAGGGCGAAGTTTAAATTCCCCGGACGTCAGAAGATCGCGGTCTCCAAGAAGTGGGGATTCACTAAATGGAGTCTTCAGGACTACGAAGTGATGAGAGCCGATGGACGCCTGCGACCCAACGGCACCACTTGTCACTACTTCCCCAATAAGGGTCCGTTCAATGTCTGGATTAAGAATCAAGAGAACCTCCGGTCGGCCGACTGATCGCTGCTCTGCACCCGATCTACTGGTTATTGATTGTAGTATTTCTCTGTTTCTAATCTTTTTGACGACAAGACTTATAATAAATTTATTTGAATTAAAACTCAATCTTTCTAATGGTCCTAAAGAAGAGAGAGAGAGAGAGAGAGAGAGAGGGTATTTTCTTAGAGAGTTTATTGAACTCCAAATTCAAAACAAAGTATGAAGTGAAAAAAGTGGGTCACAAGAACTCTACTACCAGTCGTCCCCTTATATAATATGCCTGTTATGTGTGTTCACTAACAGTAAGTTATTATATTATTATTAATATATTTATATAACTATAATCTAGTGCTAAATTTAATGGCAATTTATTTATTATATTTTTCTTATTTCGCATCACAACATATACTATACACGTATATAACGGCATATAAATACATATATGAGTCAAACACTTGTTTTTCTTTCAAACAAAACAAGAATTCATTGGAATTGAGAGAAAGAAATCAAAAGAAAGAAAAAAGTTATTCAAAAACACATTATATGTGAAGAAAGAAACAAATTCTCGGAATCATTGAATATATGTTTTTTATGGCCAATAATATGATCACAAAAGTCGGGATTCAGTTCACAAATTATAGCCATTCATATCGATATCCGCTATATTTGCGATGTTTTGTTGAATTCACAGGTTTTGTATTGAATGTGAATATAAATAATTTAATTATTCTTTAGCGTCGGGTTTATAAATATAGCTAAATATTAAACGCAAACATTACATACGGCACTAAAATTATTATTAAGTACAAACATGTGCTAAAAGTCAATATTAATTCAATTTAAAAGCCAAACCAAATTATCAATTAATGTATTAATAGTTATATAAGTTATTAATAATAAACTAATCTTTAAGGTATTCAGGTTTGCCTGAACACTGACTGATACGCCAAATGCTAATAAACAAAATGCATAAAAATATATTACATATTATATTAAGCATCACATATTGCTTTTTTAAATCAATCATTTAATTAAAGTTACATTTTTAATTAAACTTTAATATCAATTGCATTTTTATTTATAAATTAAGTGTTGGGAATAAAAATAAGATTTCAATTTAAATTATCAAATATTCAATACAACAAAAATGAATTTCTAAAAACTATTTTGCATTTTCCGTAACCCATAGTAAATGCTAAAGAAGTCAAAATCCGTTTCATAATGAATACATTTTTCCCAAACTATTGATGAATTAATGGCACCAAAAAATTAGGAAATTTTATTTAAAAATAATATCTAAATTTAAATTTATTAATGGGAATGACATTTGCATAATATATTAATACAATTATTATTACTATTATTATTAAAATTTAGTTATCCATAGAAAAAGTTAATATGAAATTAAATGCCTATTATATGTCTCAGACAGTGGTTTATAATAGGAATTAATGAGGTATAAGAGCTTCAACTCTCTATTGTATATAAGGATATATAAATTGCATAATAATTATAATTTTGGTTCACAACAAAAACCAAGAAAAAAAATAAAAATGCGTTCACTTTTACTATTAAACAATAAAATATTCATTAAATATCACTTAAAATGTATCTAAAGACTAAATACAAAATTAATTTTTGTTTTTTACTCAAAATTTTCGCTAATAAATAAAACAAAATCATTGTCTCAGATGTCATAACAGTATTCAAAGAGTTGATAACAATTTAAATCGTTTTTAAAAACACTATTAAATTGCATAAAATAAAGTGAACAACAAAATTAATACTACAATTAATAATGAATTTGAAAAATACATTGTATTTTACACTAATTATTGGCTTAAATGTGATGCTAACGAGTGCCAGGTATGTATCAATTCATCGGTTATTGAAAACTTAATTATTAGATTAATTTTGATGGGAAGCGGCGGAGGGGGCGGCGGACCCACTGTTATAATGAGAGGCGGCCGTCACGGCAACCGACACGGGGGTGATATCATTATCATCGGTGGACACGGAGGCGGCGGCCATAAAGAAGTGGAGGAAGAGGTGAAGATGGAATACATGCCAATCAAAGTGCCCATCATTATCAAAGAGAAACCCCAACCCAAACAAGTAATCGTCAAATATGTGAAACAAGCGCCGCAAGTGATCTTCGCGCCGCCCGTTCACCAGCCGATGCCTATGCCTGACGTTCATCAAGCGATGCCTATATCTGATGACCACCAGCAGATGTCAATGTCCAACGCTCGCCCCCATTATATGGCCTCCCGTTTATCGCATCCAATGCCGAATCAGTCACAGGTGATGACACTTCATTCACATCCCATACCATACGCTATCCCTTTCCAGGCATACGCTCATCACATGCCCGTCCAGTCCTATCGTTCACATCACATGATTCAAACTGTGGATCCAAAGACATATCGTTCGCATCAAACAATGGATCCAAAGTCTTATCGGTCGCATAAAATGGTTCAATCAATGGATCCCAAGTCGGATAATATACCGGGAGATGTCGATTGGTAAACATCTCAATGAGTTTACCATAAGTTTAATCTAATCATAGATATATAAAATTATACATAATATATCTCTAATTGTCCGCACATTTAGCCCACAATAGATATTAAATGCCTTTTATATAATAAAAATAGTTTCAAACTTAATAAATAAACTCCAAATGAATTTATTGTCTCAAAACTCTAATTGTAATTAAAAGTCAATACAAACTCTATATAAATAACAGACTAATGACACTATTGTATAGGTATTTACAATACAGTAATTAAATTAATAATAAACCAAATCTACAGCCAATGGCAACGGGAAGACAATCGGCAATCAGTCTATCGGTTCCGTCTCTTCATCTCGTCCTTCATTTCATGCATTCCTTTGCGGAACTCTTCGCGAAGACGTTCAGTAAAACTGGACAACCGGTCGCTTCCGGTCTTAGTATTCATGTCTTGCATAAACTCTTGAGCGGTGGGTTTGACATTGTCTTGGATGGCAGTCTTGGATCTGATCATCAGTCGTGCGGCCAATTGTGCGGCTCTTCGGATGGCATACGATTCCGACAGCCTTTCGACGATCCGCTCGTTTGCAATGAAGCCATAGATTATGCGATAAAATATACGGAAAACCATTGCATTCAACGATCCGTCCAAACAGTGACTGACTTTCAAAACACAGTTTAACTTAAATTGCAATCAAATTGACTAAACATTTAACACATCATATGTTTTACACATTGAGTTTGTGTTTACTTTCAAGACATTGCATAAACTTTTCATTTGGCACTTTTGTATATGAATTGTGTGCATAGAGTTTACACTGTTTTACAATTGTAAGCATTCTATGTATAAAAGTACCAAAACTCGAACCAAACGTTTGATTCCCGGCCGTAATGTATGGACACGTGTTTTCAGCGCCAAAACAAACGAACGATTGATTTGTTTGTAAATTGAAAACAATTAATGAACTAATCGTTGAGTTTTGGACACAAATTGTGGTCACAATTGGCAGACAATTGGGTGACAATTGAGAGACAAAGACACAGACATGTCGTCCAACGAGGAGGAGATGGAGGACTCGTTTCAAACGGAACCGCAAGACCTGACAATGAAGAGACCGATGGCCGCGACGGTCGGCGCCGGCGGTGACTCACAGGTGGACACCAGCGACGACGACGACGAGGCCGAAGAAGCGGTTCCGCCGCCAAAGATCGGCAAACGTATGGACGCCGACGATGACAATAATCACACGGTCTGTGACTCCACTTCTGGAGACACACCACCGCCAGAAGCAGCGGCGGCGCCGTCGCGGAAGACACCGATTCCCGAGAAGATAGTCGACGAAATCATTTACCTCTTCCAATGGAATCGCTTCTACGATGACATGTTGGCCGACAGGAAGAGTACAGAGACTTTAGATTCGCTGAAGACTATGTTGGAAACACAGGTCAAGACAATGACCGCCGACGCCGGCAAAGACAGGCCACAACTCGTCAACTGTGACAACGATTTAAAGCATTTGTTAATCAAATTAAAGTTTCTTAACGAACTGTACGGCGGATCCATTGAAGGGATCCGATCCGAGATCAACAGCTATCAGATGAAGGACTTTTGCAAAGAATAGTTTCCTTATTTCTATTTACCGTAATTTAAAACGAATTGTTTTTAATTCCCATTTATATATCACTTTGTATTAAACTTGTATTATTTTTTGCTATCATAACATCAATTAAAAGTTTTATTATACAGTCTATCAAAGTGTTAACTAAACCATTGCCTTAACCGAAGCCATATTCAGTGTCCATATTATCGCTATTAAATACAATGTAATCAATAAATATAGACACTAACTCTAAACCAATTGTAAATGTATAGCAGTGTAACAGTTAGTGCTAATAGAAATACCTTTACTCTAATTTATCGCATATTTAGCACTATTTTAGCACTTATTTTGTACTTAACGTAAAGTTAATAACATTACATGTTACGTTAGCATAACGTTCAATAAAAATACGGTAAAACAACACAATTAGGGCAACTGTTGGCCACTATATCGGCAAATATACTCTAATAACCACACAAACCATACATTAATGGCATTGAAATAAATAACAAAAAACAGATTGAGTTTTAATTCAAATAAATTTATTATAAGTCTTGTCGTCAAAAAGATTAGAAACAGAGAAATACTACAATCAATAACCAGTAGATCGGGTGCAGAGCAGCGATCAGTCGGCCGACCGGAGGTTCTCTTGATTCTTAATCCAGACATTGAACGGACCCTTATTGGGGAAGTAGTGACAAGTGGTTCCGTTGGGTCGCAGGCGTCCATCGGCTCTCATCACTTCGTAGTCCTGAAGACTCCATTTAGTGAATCCCCACTTCTTGGAGACCGCGATCTTCTGACGTCCGGGGAATTTAAACTTCGCCCTCCGGAGGGCTTCGATGACATTGTCTTTGTGCTGTTCCTTCGCGCGAACCGATATCAACGGCTGTCCAATGTCTACGCGGGCGACGGTTCCCAACGGCTTACCAAAAGCACCTCTCATGCCGGTCTGGAGCCGATCGGCTCCGGCGCACGACAACATCTTATTGATGCGCAACACGTGGAAGGGGTGAACGCGGATCCGCACGTGAAACGCGTCTTTGCCGCACGTCTTCACCAAATACTTGTTGGCGCAGATCCTCCCGGCCTCCAGCGCTTCCGACGAGATCTGCTCGAACTCGTTGGACAACAGGTGGACGCAGAGCGGGAACTCATCCACTCTGGCCTTCTTGCGGCCCAAATCAAAGATACGGATCTTCGCGTCGGGCACTCCTCGACAGAAGCGCGACTTCGGGTACGGCTTGTTCTTGCAGTACCGATAACAACGAGCTGGTCGTCGACCCATTGCTGCTGATG